GGGTGGGGGAGAAAGAAAGCTAAAAATCAATATATTGACATCATTCTCTTATTTCTGTTGAGGTAGCTTAATTTTTTTAATATATGTAATACAGTGAAATATTATAATGTAATATTCAGTACAAGACTAGAGAATCTAATGAAAGGAAGGTCAAAAGAATAGAGAGAGAGAGAGAGACAGGAAAAAGAGGAGAAGAGTAGGTATGTGATTTAAAAGTCTATGGTTTAGTTATTAATATTAGACAGAAATGGTCCCACATTTCTTCCACAATGGAAATACGGGAGTCAGTGTTATGTTAAATGCTGTGTAATTCTTTACTTCTGGCAAGCTCCATTTTATTCTCTAATATTCACGTATTAGAACAGGATATGGCCTGAGCTGTGGTATCTCCTTATTGCAGAAGCCTTGAATACATCCTATCCCTAACACTGGAGAGAGTTAAAGAAGCATACCATGACACAGCTTATGCTGTTGTTTCCCCAGTGTCTGGGAGTCACTGAGATACCTAGTAGTAAAGTGTATAAAAATAAGCAAGGAAAGGGCTGGCTATCTAGGGCTGTTGTGATTAACACAGGTGGCAGTGGGCCAGGTTATCCATTGCCCCCCTCCCCTCCTGCCTTTGTGTGGTCATTTATACTTCTGCAAAGTACTACTGTTCTGATTTACATTCCCTGGGCGGTGGTGTAAATGAGGGCACAAGTTGTGGGCACTGGAGAATGTTCCCTATTGTGTCCCACATTCTGTGATGTCGCCTAACCCTTATGTAGTGCTTCTCGTCAAAGCGCTTCACAATCTTGAATGGATTTAATCTCCCCATACCTGTGTGAGGCAGGGCAAAGCTATTATCCCCATTTTACAGGTAGGGCACTGAAGCACAGAGAGGCTAAGTGACTTGCCCAGGGTCTCCCACAAAGTCTGTTGCACAGCAGGGGATCGAGCCCAAATCTCCCAGGTCTTAGCTGGTACCCAACAACTGGACCATCCTTCCTCCCTAGCCTTGTTTTTCTCTAACCACAGAGCTATGGCATCTGAGCATATTCTTTACAGCAGGTTTCTGTGTGATCAAGAGGAAGATGGAAAGAGCCCCAACGTCACATTTTCCCTCCTCGTTTGGAATAGATCAGAAACGAGCACATAGCTCAACGTCTCTTCCCTTAAATCTACCACTTATGCCATGCATAAGTGGCTTGAATGGTGGTATTTGTGCTGCAAGCCTGTATCAGATTCATTCTTTTTTCTTTGGGGTATGGACTTCTCCCACTTACTCAAGACCTCCTGCCAAGGATACTCTCTCCACAGCCCAGCAGCCAAGGTGGTCACTCAAGAGACGTAAGGTATTTTGTCCTCATCATCCCCACCAGAGGCTCTACGTGCTGCTATTGCAACACTTCCAGCCTGAGGAGTGTGGGACCTGGTTTCAGATCCACTGCCTGGCAGCAGCTTTTCCACCATTAAGGCTCCAGTCTCTCAGTAAGTCTCATTGTAGAACTTTCCAGGTCTGAAGAACCCCCCCTGAACTGAAAGGAAAGGCCAAGTGCTGGTTGCCATAGTTGAGTTTCAGTTCACTAAAGCATTTAAACACGTGCTTAAGTGCCTTGCTGAATAGGGATGCTTTCCTGAAACAGGGCCCTAGTGTTGCTATTGCCACGGGCAGCCGAGTGTATCCAAACTCCATAGAAGAAGCTGTGTGGACTAACATGCATTTTTGTGCAAAGACATTGTTGGTTGGGTTGTTGTGATACTAGCAGTTGCTTCAATTAAAAAGGAAGCACTGATCTTATCGAGGGCTGTCAATCAATTGCAGTTAACTCACACGATTAACTAAAAAAAATTAATCATGATTTAAAAAAATAATTTGCCGTTTTAATCGCACTGTTAAACTATAGAATACCAATTGAAATTTATTACATATTTTTGGATGTTTTCCTATATTTTCAAATATATTGATTTCAGTTACGACCCAGAATACAAACTGTACACTGCTTACTTTATATTATTATTTATTATTACAAATATTTGCAATCTCTTTATCATGAAAATGCAACTTACAAATGTAGATTTTTTTTTTGCTACCTAACTGCACTCAAAAACAAAACAATGTAAGACTTTAGAGCCTACAAGTCCACTCAGTCCTACATTGTTTTATTTTTGAGTGCCATTATTTTTTGTACATAATTCTACATTTGTAAGTTCAACTTTCATGACAAAGAGGTTGCACTACAGTACTTGTATTAGGTGAATTGAAAAATACAGTTTTGTCTTTTATAGCGCAAATATTTGTAATAGAAAATAAAGTGAGCACTGTACACTTTGTATTCCATGTTGTAATTGAAATAAATATATTTGAAAATGTAGAAAACATCCAAAAACATTTAAATATATGGTTTTCTATAATTGTTTAACAGTGTGATTAATCGCGATTAATTTTTTTAATCGTTTGACAGCCCTAATCTTATCACATTGATATCTGCTCGCTGCACTTTAACATTCCAGGAACGGGACAATATTGCAACACCTCGAGACAAGACATGTGCCCCTTTATATAAATCATGGCAGGTAGAATGAGACAAATGTCTTTTCTGTTTTGTTTTTACTGCAATCAACGTTTTCCTCTTTGTCTCCTTCATTACTATGACTGACAGCACAGGTCACCCAAAGCATCGCTCGTAAACTAGATAGAATGCACAGAAAAATGCTGCCTGAGATTTATTGTAAAGGAAGTTCTCATTTTTCCATATTGCTAACGAAGTGATACTTCAGGCTCACATTAAAAAAGGAAGGAAAGAGCAGTATAGTTTTGTAAAACAGTGAAACCAGCTAAGTCAGTGCCCTAACCTCAAGTCAACTTGACAGTGACCTTCTCAAGCATGAATAAGGAAGTTTTATGCCAGAACTTTGTCACTAGAGTTGTTAGTCTTTTGTACAGTCATCCTTCATCCCATGCAAACTCTGCAGCAATTGTAGCAACATCTCCCATGAATCATCAGCAGGATTTGAACCCAGAGGCTTCAGCACTGCAACACAGACCTCTGCCGCTTGAGCTAAAAGCAAGTGCATTAGGCAGTAGCAGTTGGTAGGCTGTTATCTTCCAGTGGCCCATCTTCTAAAGGGGGATGCCAGTGTGTTTCAGAATGAGACGCAACATTAATTGGAGCACCAAAACAGGACAGGGAGTGGAGCTTAATTCTTTACCAATATTTAAGAAGGAAGTAAAACGACTGCACGTGCCATTTTTATTTAGCTGTGGAACAATGCAACAGTTCAGGCAATATCCTGTTCAAATACATTTCTATTAGATAATAAAAATGGTGCTGACAGTGAGGAATTGCTTTGCATTAATTATAACCCCGAATTCTGTATTTTGCATTGACGCAAGAATGTGTCATATAAATGTATAGCTTTTTAACTTTTTTTTTATTCCTGGCCCAGATAGTCCATATCCATGAGATTTATTTCTTGATCTGTACGCACATGTAATCTTTCTTGGGATTATTGCCATAGAAACAAGACGTAACATGCAGAGTGTTAGAAATAACAGATGGGATTTGGCTGTCTTTTCCTATTTAATACACAGTGTCTGAAGAGTGTACAAAAAGTAGCAATTATTTGCTATGGGAGGGCTATTGCAGACTTACTAACAAAGACATCTACACTCTTTTTACAATTAGATGTTACTGCTTCCATTCTGGCTAGAGTGACACCTTGGGCAGTGTCATCAGGGTTGCTTAGAGGTGTGTTGGAGGCCTACATGGAAAAATCTACCATGTTGCTTGCACCAACTCAAAAACTAAACAATTGGTCAACAGTCTAAACAATCAAATCATTCCATACATCTCAATGGGAGAGACGCCCCTGGAGTGCCAGCCGGCACAGAGAATAGGAACGGAACAAAGGCCAGGATTTTCAACAATGGAAGCCTGAAGTTATGCTTTTAGGTCCACATTGACACCCCTAAATAAGTTGCCTGCTTTTCAAATGTGCTGAGCACCCAGCAGCTGTTGTTAAAGCCCGTGGGTGCTGAGTACCTTTGAAATTAAGACACTTATGTGGCTCAATGTGGACCTAGGAACATAATTTCAGGCATCCAGTTTTGAAAATCTTGGCCTAAATAATGCTAATGCCTTCTCTGGTCCTTTCCCACATTCCTCTTATTCCTTCTATTTCCATGTTTCCTTCTTTTGTTTCCTTTTGTATTCCTTCCTTTTTTTCCTCTACGGCTCCCACACTCTGTTCCTCTGCCTCCCCTCCCAACACCGTCTCCATCTCCCCTCTCACCTCTCACAGTATCCCTACCGTACTTCTCTCCACCTGACGTGCTGCTCCTTCCTCACTGTTCGCTCTCACCCTGCATCCACTCATTCATCTCCTGAGAACCACAGAATCGTCAGCCTTTCCCCCAAGACCCTTATCCAGCAAGCCAGAGGTGAAACCCCTCCCCTTTCTCCTACTCCACATGTTAGCAATAGCTCCACGGGCATGAAGAACCAGCCGCCACTTGCTCCAGGGGACATGGAAATTCCAGCCTACAGCCTCCAACTGTCTCCTGGGAGGTCCTGGGTTTCAAGCCCAAGCGTCCCCCTTCCTGCACGGGAATCTCCAGGGCCTAAAGCAGGAGGGGAACAGGATCTTCTTTAAAGGGCCTATGGTGTACCAAATTCCTGCAAACTTTCTCCACTACTGTCTGCTGGGGGGGCTCGAGGTAGTTTGGGCGCTCTCTTCAGTCAGATGCCCTAGGCAGGTGCCGCCGTCTTCTCTTCCTAAAACTGGAGCTGAGTGTTCTGTGCTCAAGCAGTAACTTTCCGAAAGCAGATGTGGTGCAGAAGCAATGCTGCGTGTGAAGGATATCACACAGCCGTGAAATCATGCTGGTTTTGTAAACAGAAACCCTCCTTGGTCTCATTAATGGCTGGGGGAGTTTTAATTGGAAAGGGAAGCTGTTCGAGTTTATGGGAGTAGATCAGATCGCTCTGGTCTCTGACACGAATCTCTCTCTGTTTCAGGGAGGCATGCCCCAAACCCTGAGTTCTATCAGTATGTTCACCCCCTGTGGCTTCAGTCCTCATCTGCACTCAGCAAAAGAAGATGATCAAGGGGGACTGATCTTCCAGGATGGAAACCTTGCCTCCGCATCTCTTGATGCTTTGATCCAACATCTTATACCTACAACTGATTACTACCCTGAAGTAAGCAATTCATAGTATAGTAAACAGTTTAATTTTGTTGACTTGGGGCAGCGCTTTATGCAACAATGTAAATGCATGGGTTTTGAATCAAGAGAGCTTATTTAAAGCGGCCTACAATTAAAGCTTGGCAAATTGATGCATTGTTTTAAATGCCGTTGAACAGCTTTGTGATTAAGTTTCCATGAGAGAGCTTCAGGTTGGGGATCTGTTGCTTTAAATAAGACAATGTTTTTAAGTAAAGCTCTGGTGTTAAAGAATTAGTGAGCTGGCGCATGGGGGCAAAACAGAAGAGCATCCTGGAGGGGTTTAGTGCTAGACTGAAGCAAAAAACAGCTCTAAGCCAGAACAGGCAGTAAATTTGCAGAACTTCAGCAATTGCTAAAATTGCCCAGGCTTCTGTGTGTGAGAGGCATTCCCCTACTGAAAATAGAGCCACGGTTCATGCCCATTCATAATAATCACCTAGGATGTATTGTGCCCAACGTTCTTACAGTCTCTGGGCCCAAGGGCCCATATGACTGTCCTGATCTGGGTTCCACCAGTGTAAATCCAGAGTAACTCCACTGATGCATTGAGAATCTAATCCAAGAAGCTAAATCCTCCTCTTTTGCACTAATGCAGTCGATTGACTTCAGTGGATTTTCACAGCCCCAGAGGAATTGAGGGAAGAATTTGTCTGGAAAACTTTTCAGTGCTAATGTGTCCCAGCGGGATGACTTGTATTATGAAGAATCATAGAGTGTGACTGACTTCTGCGGAGCTATAAAGTTATCAGTGCAGTACAGGCAGTGTCTTACATTAGCAATTGCTCTGTTTGTGATCACCTGAACATAAACAGATGAACTGAAAAATGAGAAAAGCAATTAAACTAGGTCATGGACACATTCGGTTGTTGGGTTTTTAGTAGTCCCAATATGATGTGAAATATTTCATGAGCTGTTCAGGAACATTGGTGGGGCTGCCGGATGGTAACCCAGGCCGCCTGGGGGTTATGGACCCAAAGCAACTTTGCACAATATTTTAAGGATTCTCACTTGAGATTCATGCATATGCTTTAAACTCACAGTACAAATATATTTGTAAACAATTGAACCGCATACTTCACAGACCTGCCCCTCCAGTGGCACTGACTCGTAGGGCTGCTGATGACATTCCTACAGCTTGGCCTCTAAAACCAATTCTGGAAAGTTGCTAGAGTAAATCTTACCAAATGCTGGCAGGGCGAGCCCTGCGATCTAGTGACAGATCATTGCCATGAGTTTGGGTGCCTGGGCTGGCAAGAGTTGGAAGTGAGAGTTATAGAGGTAGCACACGCTGCTGTTGGGAGAAGGGTTTAAATCACAAGGAGTAAAGACTGACATAAGAGAGGAAGATGGTCCAGTGGTTATGGTGCTAGTGTGGGACTTGGGAGAACTGAGTTCATTTCCCTGCTCTGCTACAGGCTTCTTGTCTGACCCTGGATTAGTCACTTAGTCTCTGTGCCTCAGTTTCCCATCTGTAAAATGGGGATAATTGCACTGCCCTACCTCACAGGGGTGACATGAGAATAAAGGCACTCAAGACTGTGAGGTGCTCAGATATATGATAATGGGGCTATGAGAGATGTAATAAAGTCTGTTGTCAAGGTCAGAAATCTGTGCATCTTTTAAACATATGCTCTTCTCATTTGCACCAGTGCAATCCCACTGCCTTCAGTGTAATGGAAGAGATGTTTAGAAAGTACAGTTTAAACTTCTTTATGTATGCAAATATACATAAACTCAAGGCAGAGAGTGGACTCTAGTGACTGCATACTTGTAACCTGAGGAATCAGCAACATCTCTGTCTGGTGACAAGGAGAAAATCTAAATATGGATTTCAAGATATTTTCTGGTAAATCTTACACACTGTACAGCTGTCTTAAAGTAGGACTGACTGTTTCATTTCCCCAGAAGGCCTATATCTTTACATTCCTGCTGAGTTCAAGACTCTTCATTGAACCTCATGAACTTTTGTCCCGAGTTTGTCACAAGTGCATTGAGCAGCAGCGACTGGACGACCCGGTGCTGGATAAGGTTAGTTCAGTTCTACCACGGGAAGGTTTGTGACATTTGCAAAGAGCAGAGAGCTCTAGGGCTGATGGAAAACGCTGCTGATTTTGTCCTTAATGCATCTGTCCTCCTGTCTCCTCCCTGTTTGAATGTTACCAGTCCCATATGGGTTATTGTTGTTCCTGAGAACCTGACATAGTGGCATCCTATTAATACCATCAATAACCAAGAGCAGAGCTCCAGGCGCTAGTCCCTCCAAATAGTCTTCTAACCTCCCTTCCCCTCCCCCACCCCATCTCAGACTTCCCAGGTGATCTCCCTTCTTACTTCTTTAAGGCTCTGATCAAGCCTACAGGATGCAAGGAGGTAGGATTTAAACTGCACGCTGTCAATTGCCCATGTCAGCAAACCATTGTCTTTCCCGTTTTTACTTAATACGTCTGGCCTTTTGCTTTCTTGCTTCTGGTACAGTATGTAACAATTCCTTTCAGGCTTACCTGCCACTGTGATCTCCAAATAATAGCATGCAACTACCCATTAACCTTCCGGTCTCTGTTCTGACAGATCATTCTTACAGCTGGCTATATCTAGCACACTAGGAACCATGTTTAAGTAATAGTAAGGTTGTGACAAGCTGACAAAATCCAAGCTGTTCTTGCATCTTAGCTCATCCTGTTGTGCCAGAGAATTGTAGCAGATTCTGATATGGTATGTAACCATATACACTCGTCCTCTGGCAGTGCCTATGAGGAGGTTGGAATTGAGAAGATTAACTCATCCAGTGCCAGATTCCATCACAACTTTCATGAGCGTGTCAATGAGGAGTTACCCAGTACATCGGATGTGTGTTTTGTCCCAGATGGCACGTTGGTTGATGTCAGACCTGGTGGAGCGGAGAAGATTGTGCATCAGTCATTTGATACTATTGTTATTGAAATACCAGAATGATAAAAATTATTGGCAGGATCATCATCTCTTGCTTTCAAACTGGTAATCTCTGCATTGGCTCAAGATTTATGCAACTGCATGAAACCATTAACCTGAGAACACTTTGTTACATTATGGCCCCGATACTCATCCCCACCCTCCAAATCTGTGCACCCACTTTTGCACAGGCTGCTGATTGCATGTGTAAAAGCAGTCACCTCTCCAAGTGCCTGACTTGCACATGAAAATTGCTGCTTATGTGCGCAATAGAAATATCTGCTTGTGTTTGCAAAGTCTGAAACAATGGCTCTGAGGTGTGAAGTGCTGTACTCATTTACATGGGTGCTAACCCGGGTGCCACTTATGGTCATTTCAATGTGAGCATTGTTAAGTATTCCACATCTCATCAGAGCTTGTAAGAAAAGAGAGGAAGTATCATATTATGAAGATCTACCCCATCTACCTTGAGAGGGAGCTCATTTTGGGTAGGCCTGGTGCAGGGAAAGGGGGCCCGTTGATTTGATTTCCCTAGGGTGGGGGCTAAGCTTTCAAATTTTGGGAAGACCTGCTTATGAGCATCCTTTCCACCCAGCCTCAGTAGCAAATACTCTCTTGAGTCATGTCCTGTGACCAGCATAAACGTCTCTCCTTCAGTCTGTAAACTTAGTAAGCATCAGTTTACCCAGCTGGACCAAAAAATACTCCCAAATCCTTGCAATTCCCACCAGAGCCTTCTCCATAATAGCCACTTGCTGGTACTTGAGCATGTGTCTGCTAATGCTAGCTGGCAGTGACTATTGATAGAGCTGTGGTACATTGAAACCTGTTGTTGGCGGGAAGCTGAAATACGCATTTTAACCAACTTCTTCAGAAAGCAGAAGGCTGTGGAGCAGAACTCTCTAATTTTCCCTGATTACAGGGTGCACGTTCGTTTCCCTGCTGCATGCTCCCGAGGCGAGCTGTTGGGTTTGGTCCAGGTTTTCTGTAAATAAAAGTGTAGCTGCTGTTTACAGCGGTGGCTCTGCACCTTTCCAGCCGACTCCATCCCCTTCAAGAGTCGGATTTGTCTTGCGGATCCCCAAGTTCCTCCTCACTTAAAAACGACTTGCTTACAAAATCTGACATAAAAATACAAAAGTATCACAGCACCTTATTACTGACAAATGGCTGCCTTTCTCATTCTTACCCTATAATTATAAAATAAATCAATGGGAATATACATATTGTATTTACATTTCAGCGTATAGTATATAGAGCCGTATAAACAAGTCATTCCTTGTCTGTATGAAATTTTAGTTTGTACTGACATTCCTACTGCTTTTTATGTCGCCTGTTGTAAAAGTAGGCAGATATCCTCTAGGTGAGCTGATGTATCCCCAGGGTAAGCGTACCTCTGGTTGAGAATCACTGGTTTAGAGCAATTTGCTCTGCCTGTTGTCTTGAATTATGGAAATATAAAACTTTGGAAGCAACATGCATTAAAAGCTGTTGCACTGACGTTCTCCCCCACCAATATCCCCAAACTCATCTGACAGTCGCATAATCAGATACATCTAGACCCGCTCAGAATTGGCTGCAGGTCCATATGATATGAGTTTGTGTTCTTTGTCTTGCCCAGCCCTCCTTCCTGATGGCTTATTCCATGAGAAGTGGACAGCATTATCAGTAATCGGAGATGCAGTAAAGCTGCCAAATTAACTGTGTTGTATCTTACCAGAAAGCAAAGAAGCAAAAGAATCATCTGTTTGTTGACTCAAGAAACACTTTGCAACCATTTTTTTCCCCAGCCAAATGATTGCAGTATGGGAGGGGGAGGTAGGGGAGGAATGTATGTATGTACATTTTTTAAAAAGGTCAGATCTTTTAAAATAAGGTATCACAGTTGCACCAACAAAATGTGTCCATCCAATCACAAACAGGCAATTGCATGTGCAAAATACATAAATCTGCATGTATAACAGACAGTTGTGCATGCAGAGAGGCATGTGTATATTTTGCATCAGAAATGTGTCATTTGTGCACCAGATTACTTGTTTGCATATGAGCAGATTTTGCTGGTGCAACCATAAGTGCCTTCCTTGAAAATCTGGCCCCAAACTCAGTTCAGCAGGCATTTATCAGAACTTTGTTGAATGTGCTTTCAATCAGTATCTATTACTCTTGTCTCTGTTCCAGGCGCGGATCAGAAAATTTGGGCCTAAACTCCTACAGTTGTTGACAGAATGGACAGAAACTTTCCCCTATGATTTTCAGGAAGAGCGGATGATTGGCCATTTGAAAGACATGATTGACAGGATAGCCCCGTGTGACGAGGTGAGGATGAGATTTCTCAAGAACTTGCATCCACAGGGGACACTGATCTGATCTGTTCCTATTGCTGAAGACTTTTACGAGGGAACCCAGATTCTGCTCTGTTTTGCTGGTAAAACCCATAGTAGATCTATTGAAATCAATGTCTGTCTGTCTATCTAGGTACTCATATAGCCATAGAATAGGCACCCCACAGTCATTAATGGCTTTTGTCCTGACCACATCCCTTTGAAGTAGGGAAGCATTATCCCCATTTTACAGATTGGGAACTGAGGCGCAGATTGGGAACCTGGGTCTCTTGAGGCTGCTGCTAGTAGAGAAGTCCATTGCCCGAACTAGACCATCCTTCCTACCCAAGCAGTGACTAATGGAACATGCAAATGTATTTAATGCAACATATGTGGGATAGATCATCTTCAGTGATTTTATATGGCTAAATAAAATCCTTGGTTGTTTGAAGTAAAGCTAATTAACCCAGAGAAGATGAGTCTTCATAGAGCCACGTGGGGTCATTTACAGTCATACTCTGCCTCCTGATTCTCTTTCTGTCTCCCCTTCCCTTTTTTCCATGTTCCTCTCCAGTCTTATTTCCTTGTACCCTCTCCCATATTCCTCATTTTCCATCTCTCTGCTATCCCCTCTGTGTCTGCCCCTATAGGCTGCAAACTTTGCCTTTTTGTCATCTTCTTTCACTAGCAAACCCAGTGGGGTTTTGGTTCAGAGATTTCATCATTGAGCTGATTAATATTGCGGAGGCAGGATCCAGAAACAGAACCAATACAGAACATCAGATTCAGATCATGGCCTGACTAATGTCACTGGGATTCACAATGAAGACCAAAAGGTCAATGGGCCAGAATGTTAGCTCATTTTGTATCTTGTTCACTTTAGGCCATAAAAATTAAGGCTCAGTATAAAACCATCAAGGGTTGGACAGTGTTTTAGGGATCCCCCTTATTGGCTCGATAGAGTGGCTTGGGGGAGATTTTAAACACTGGAAAATGAGCTGAAAGGGGCTCCTCTGAAAGTGACAAAATCTGAATGATACCTAGCACTTATCAGGCCAGATTCACACCTGAGTTATGCTGGCAGAAGCTGGTGTGAACTGGGGCACAGAGCCTACATTTCCCTTTTTCTAGGAGTGAGCTGGTAAAGGACCAGTGCCACCTGAAATCTGAGCACTGCTGGCCAGGGAGAGGGCATGGCCTAGTGACAAACCTATGATGGTGATTGTATGATAGGGATGCTTGTGATGGTAGGAGCAGGGCTCAACAGCCCTGCAGCTCACTTCCGGTTTATGTTGTGTATTCCTATAGCTCATACTTCAGGATTTCAGCTGGATCGGGAAGCAAGTTTTTCTCCCGGTGTATTCTGTTGGGTTTTTTTTCTGTAAATCTCCTTCCTGTGAAGCACCAGGATGACCATGGCTGGAGATGAGACAATGGTGCCACCTGGCCCACCCTGCCCAAGCATCCTCTCTTTCAGGTGCTAGCTGATTCTTGCTCACATGCTCAGGGTCTAACTCAGGGGCAGGCAAACTTTCTGGCTTGTGGGCCACACTGGGTTTCAGAAATTGTATGGAGGGCCGGTTAGGGGAGGCTGCGCCCCCGCCCCCTCCTTGCTTCTCGCCCCCTGACGGCACCCCCGGGACTCCTGCCCCATCCAACACCCCCCCCCCGCTCCATCCACACCCTCCCCCGCTCTCTAGCCCAGGCTGCCTCTCAGAATCAGGAACCATTTTTCTGTTTAACCCCTAACCCCCCCGCCCCCGGAGCACCCAAAACATATGAATGCCTGTCTCTGATCCAGCACAGGCACTGGAAGCTCCCCTCTGAGGATCCCCCGGCAGAGGGGACTGAAAATGCAAATGTGGTTTGAAAAATTCAATTTGTGCCTTCACAGGTGGCATGCAACCTAGCCGTGTGAGGCAGTATGGAAAATACCTCAGCGCTGCCACTGCCAGCCTTAGCGTTAATTAGCTTTGTCACCCCAGGGGCCGGCGGATAACCCTGGGGTTATAGCAATTAAAGTGCCACGTACACCGAAAAATTTAATTCCTCGGGAAAGAAGCAGCCACAGATCCACACCTGGGATAATCTTCACAGACCTTCCTCCCCACTGACACGTCTTCAAAAAATGTCTGGATAAGGGCCTCTCTTTTCACTGGGGACCTGATTCTGTAAATGCTACTCCCATAAAATTCCCCATTGATCTCCATGGGAGTTTTGCATAAGAACTGCAGGAGCTGGGTCCTTAGTTTGCCTGCAAAGTTTATTCCTTATGCTGATTAACAACAGTACTTGAATGTAATTACAAATGGGGTGTGGTGTAATTACAAATGGGGTGTGCTCGCTTCTTCTAAGCTTCACCCTGGCTATTGCAATTGCACCGCATCACACTAGATACACTGGCCTGAGAAGATGCTAATTGTAAGACCATAGATAGTCAGCATGATGCCCTAGATGTAGTCAGTTGATATTAATGGGAGTCGTGCTCCTAAATCCACTTGCGCTTGGCTGTAAGTGGTGATCACATGCTAAATCTACTGCATTGTACTGAATATTAATCCGAGATGTGAAACACAGAGGTTCCTGTGAAGTAAAATGCTGACTGCAAATGAAGGTAGCATTAACCTCTGGATTTTATCTGGTACAGGAATTAGTTGCAATAAACAGTGAACCTGCTGTTTCTAAGTCATTTGCAAATGCATATGCTTCTGGGGAGGAAATTAAAGCCTAAAACCAAACAACGTCTTTTATGAGAGTTGCATTACGTGACCTGGAATATAAAAGCCTGTATGTGACTGGTAATACAACCTGAAGTATTTCCCAGATGCTTTACAACTGTTTGGTGAAATGCAGCCTCTTTGGGGGGCAGAAAGTGGCACTTCTTAACTGAACACAGCAACTTGTGGTCTATTATGCTGGAAGCCAGACTAGATGATCATAGTGGTCCCTTCTGGCCTTTAAAACCCATTAACTTTATACATAGCAGAGTGGAACAGAGCAGTGGAGAGATGGTATGCCTGTGGGACTTGAATTCAGATTCAGGGGTCTGGCCTTGAAATAAATTCAGAAGCCAAGTAATATTAAAAATAGCACAAAGCCCATGCAGATGATAAGGAAAAGGGCTAATAGTGCATTGAGAGTCTTTAATTACTGCTAGGTTAACCATGGGATGTGGAGAAGTTCAATGTCCATTGGCTGCATCCAGGCTCATTCTAGGCTTTAGGCCACAGATGTGGGCAGTCCAGTTAAAAAAACAAAACAAAACTGTAGGATTGAAAGAGAAAGGAAAGGAAATATGCCTCTTCCATCCACATGAAACAGGAGAGAAATGGAAGCAGCTGCTGTTGGGCTGGGCTGGCATAGCCACTGACAATGCACTGGCTGGTTGTACACTGGCATCGCTACCCTGGTTTGGCTGGCCAGGAGGCCACCATAAATAAAATGCCAGGAGAAGAGAGTGGGGGTGGGGGACTGCGTGATTGTTGAATGGAGCCTGGATGCAAGGGAGCACAGGGGGAGTACCAGGGACACACTGCTCCCATAAAGGCCTCCCCATACATGATCATGACCCGCCCCCATGAAGGAGACACCCCAGGCAGCACTGGGTATCTGGGCTGGTCCTGTGGCCAGTTTTGCTGGAACCTCACCCAGCCCAATGGCACAGTTTGGGCCGGGAGTCTCTCACAGATTTCCTCCTCCTTTGTCTCTGCTTTCACAAATAAACCTCTAGCCAGACTGACCGTTTTTTACTGCTACTTATAAATTGCAATGTACATGTTAACAGCCCAAAGCTGGCAGTGTGTCTCATAAATGATACCGCTCTATTGAAATGCAGCCATCTCCGGGGTGGAGTGCATACCCCAGCCTGGGAACAGTGTGCTGCACGTAGAGTGCAGGGAAATTTTGGCCAAGGACACTGGGGAAACCCCCTGACCTTACAAAAATTGCTTTGGGGTCTTTAATACCCATGCGATTGGAGAGGACAAAGATCCCCACAGAATAAATTGCATAGTGTTCAGCTTACCTGCATCAGAAGGTGTGAGACGTCATGTAACGGTGCACGGTCAGGAGCAGAGTGGAGACAGGTCTTAGTGTCAGTCTTATTGTTGACTGCAGGCTACAGACAGGATAGGACCCCTCCTTCCCTTAAAACTAATGGAGATTCCCCCTTAGCTAATAGAGACAATCTTCAGCAACCTGGAGGGATGCAGACAGAAATACACTATCTGGGCCAGATCCTCAGCTAGTGCAAACAGGCACATTGACTGGAGTGAAGCTGTGCCCGTTTACACTAGCTGGGGATCTGGCTCATTAGGTGTTCTGGACTGTTATACTTCAGTATCAGTTTGTTCAGCACTCGCATGCCAGTGTACTTATGCCAGAGGAGAGGGATGGGCATGGGTGAGGACTGTGTTGGGGTCAGGAGGGGTTTCTAACATTGTTTCTGCAAAGGGGAGCTTTCCCTTTGTTTTTAGCCATAATTGGCCAGAATCTGCTCCCGCTGTGGTCACTGAAAGTTTTCCCACTGACCACTCTGAGATTAGGGCTGGGCCCAACAGATGTGGGAATCCTTTCTCCTCCCTTCTCTGTGGAGGGAAAATGTCTTAGGAACATGCCATTGCAAGAAAATAACATTTAAAGCTCGGGCAGCAGTAAATTGTGACTGTACTTTGAGATCTGCACTTACAATACTGAGTGATAAGCTTATTCTGAACGGAGCAGGGACATATCATTTTGAGGCACAGAGTCTGCTGTCACTTACATCCTGGAATTATCCCTGTGCAAGTCACCTGGGAGAGGAGAATCAGACCCCGTACCTGAAATACATGAATGGGAGAGACTGATTCTGAATGGCAAATGAAGAGCCATGTTATGGAGAGAACTGTCACATCTTAAATCAGAGTCAGATGTTCATGAATGTTCTGGGCTGGAATAATTAACACGTCTTTAAGATTTGCAGCAGTTGTAGGAAGATCTCTAAGGCAGCTGGCCTCC